GAGGCTGAATTTAAGATAATATGAAGCTAAATTCAGAACAGTGTCTGGCACTTAAAAGAACTCAATCAAGCATAGCTATTATTATCAAACTCGAGACCAAGAAAAATGTACTTAGCGATGATAAAAATCAATTAAGTACATACTGAATGACAACTATTAATACATATCCACTGCGGTGCCAGGCCCCGTAGCTAAAGAGAGCTGTACAATGCATGGTCGCTAGCCCCACAAAACTAACAGTGATCTCTCAGTTGGAATAACAAGGTCAAAAAACATGAATTAATTACAGAATACAGAATAAAGTAAGTGCTAAGCTTGTGAATTCAAAAAGGAAAACAAAATGACAGTTAATATTTCTTAAACAATGTTGCAGGCCTGCTTCAAGCACTTTACATAAATTTCCTCATTTAATTCTCAGGATCCTATGAAGTAAAGACTGTTATTAACTCCATCTTATAGATGAGGAAACTGAAACAGAGAAGTACAGCAATATGCTTACATAGCGAGTTAGAAGCAGAACTAGGACTCAAACCCAGACAGTCTGACTCCTGAGCCCGCTCACTTAACTACTAAACTATAGTGGAGCAGGGGACTCAACCATTAATATTACCATTTATGGAATGTCTACTATAGGCCGGGCACTATACTAGGCACTTTCAAATATCCCATTTTACCAATAGCATTCATTTTACAGATGGGGTAACAGGCAGAAAGGGGAACTGCTCCAGGCTAATGGTACAACACAGAGGAGCAGGAACTCTGTCACAGATCTGCTGAGCCTAACTCCCAGGCTCCTGTTGACTTCATTCTTTGAAAAGCAAGGGAAAGTTTAGTTTCAAGGGGCAGGATTTAAGCACAACTCAAAGGATTTGTATAATTTAGGTGGCTTGCAAGGTAGGAAACGATTGAAGAAAGGAGGAATAGAATGAGCAAAAACTTGCTGCAAAAACCAGTGTTGAAGGATGTTAAGAAAAATAGGCTGCCTGGAGCAAAGGCTGACAGTAGGAGAAAAGATGGCTAATCTGGATTAAGATGACAAAGACAATGGAAGCAAAGTGGAATGCTAAAACCTGATGCAGCAGACAACAGCCAGCCACTGTAGGCTCTTGAGGAGGTTAAGAGGGATTTTAGACACACTGCTGATAGCATTATTGAATGAACTAGAAAGGGAACAGAAACACTAGACTGTGCTGCTGGATACAGATGTTGAGATCATGAAGACTTCACAAAGGGGGCAATGAAATAAACAGCAAAGGGACAATAGGGAAACAATTTTGAAAGAACAGCCCACAGGATTTCACACAACAGTCAATTTCAAAAGTTTAGCTGCTTTTGATTTTTTAGTAAACAAAATCATATCAAAATTAGCAACATTAAAGAACAGACATGCTGTTCTTTCATCTCTTCAGAGATAACTTGGAGCCTGTTAGGTTATTTCCCTCTATCTGCCTAGACCCTTCGTTTCACAACAGGCGGAGTCAAGCATTTTTCTTCTGTTGCCCACACATACTGATAACAACCCTTTGTGCCAGGCAGTCAACCTTAGCTGTACCTATAACCACCCACACAGTGGCCTGCCATATTTCAGCCTGACAGGCTCAGCAATTCCAAACCCACAAATGCAGCTAAAAACTTGAGAAAAAAGAATAAGCTATTCTCTCATATTTTCAATAAGTACAGGTCCTTGCAGGACTATATGGATGTGGGCATGTCTGGGGCGGGGGGGAGGGGGGAGTGTCACATCTAGACTGTATACTTAGGTACACTGGCCAAGTTTGGGGGATGGGTACCAGTCTGATAACTGGGTAGAGGCAACGTCACCCTACCAATTTCCCATTCCCAGAGCCTCACTAAACAATCCCAAAGGGAAAATTTCAACTCACACTGCCAAGGGTCATAAGATGTGGTAGGAACCACATAGCACAAGGTAAATGAGGCAGGAAGAGTTCCAAAATGGTGGAAAAATCTCATGCATTCAAATCTACTAAATACAATTTACTGAGCATCAAAACCCCAAATAATATGAGCCCTGGCTATCTCCACAGCCTCTTTTCCTACTTCGCTTCCTTCTCTAACTGCAGTCCAGACACATTAGTCTCCCTGCCATTCTTGAAGGCACTGAGGTCTTTGCTCTTGCAATTTCCTCTGCCTAGAATGCCTTCCCTCAGTTACTCACATGGCTCTCTCCCTCACTTCATTCAGATGTCTACTCAGAGGCCCTCCTTGACCATCTGGTGTAAGATAAATAGCGCTTTTTCCTCTGGTTACTTTGTGTCTCCTTATCCTGCTTTATTTTTTCTTCCTAGCACTTATTATTTATCCATGTTAGTTATATATGTGTGTGTATGCATATGTATGCATATGCATATACATATATATACACACACACTATTAGGACATGGTTTTGTCTATCTTGCTCATCACTCCATCCCCAGTTAATAGCAGGTCCTCAAAGAATATTTATTGAACAGCGAATGAGTGAATCTATCATATGGATAGATCTGAGGTTAAGTACTAGAAATATAAAGATAAATAAGTCAGGTCTCATTTCTTTAAAGGAACTAACAATCTAGTAGGAGAGGTAGACAAACCACAAGAGGAGAAAGTTCCACAGCTCAGGTATTCCCCATAACATCTTATGAAGAGTAAAAAAAAAAAAAAATCACTTCTAACCTGCTGAAGTGTTAACTGCTACAAAACTGTAATATTAATTAAAAACTATAAAAAGGCTAAATGTTGGTCATAAGAGACAGATATGGTTTCAAATTTCTTAGCCTGTTTCCTAACCCATAAAAAGAAATAATACTGGTAATTACTTCACAGGGTTGTTACAAAATCAAGTTAGATGATGCCTGTAAAGCACTTACATCGCCTCGCACACAGTATGCACCAAAAATGTTAGCTATTAATGCTATTAATGGCTGAATCCAACTATTACTTGAGCCTGATGCCTAACCAAGAGCTAAATCTTATGAATTCTATTGCCAAAGACACCTCTCCTATCCTTTCTTTCTTTTCATTTTCAGTTCCTAACTGGTGTCTCTGATTCCAGCCTCTCCCTTCCAACTCGATTTACACATTTCTACAGAATTAAATCCAAATCCATTAGGTTAGTACTTAAGGCCCTTCATATCTGAGTCCCAACTTAACCTTTCCAAGCCTACTTTGCACTACGTTCTAGAATCCACCACGTTAGCCAAATTAAACCACTCTACTTTTCTATACACAGCACATGCTTTCCCCCTTGTTCATTTAATTCCCTCCTTAAAATGCCCTTCTTATTTATTGTAAAAAGTTCAAATCCGTTCCACCATCTTTCCAGCCAGACCTAACTCAAATGCCATAATGCCTTCCCTGGTCCCTCCCAAATGAAAAAGATGTCTCTCCTGAATACCTATAATTTTATTTTATCTCTTCTATAGCATCAAACTCTTTCAGTTGCTACGTAGGCCACAGGCTCCCTGCCAGTTCTTACACACAGTACATGCATGATACTCAAATAAATGCATACAGAATGAACATTTCACAAATAGACATTAAAATTAGATTTGGTCTCAACAATAAATCTTTGGCTTTGAATCAGAATTTTCTGATCTAGCCTGTATTACATTTACCTCACAAAAGAAAACTGGAGCACAAAGTACTATACTTCCTAACTAGTGGTCATATATTTTTAAAATATTTTTATTTTTTGGCTGCATCATGCAGCATGTGGGATCTTGGTTCCCCAACCAGGATTGAACCCGTGTCCCATGCAGTGGAAGCATGGAGTCTTAACTTGCCTGGACCACCAGGAAAGTCCCACCAGCGGTCATATAAAGGTTTGTTTCAAATTTCTAGATTTCACAGATCATATAGTCTTCTTTCCACTTCCAAAGCGCCAAGACTCAAATGATTTCCATCAGAAATTTTCCCTCTCTCAAATTCTATGTTACATATTAAATTTAAAAGCTAAGTGGTATTTTTTTCTTTAAAATATAGAACATAATTGTGATTCAGGACCAATTAGTTCTACCTATTAACAGGGTACAGCCAAGCTCACAAAAACACAATAATAAACAACACGGATGATGATACCATTCCTTCCAAGTATTTGCTGCTGCTGCTGACCTCCTGTTTATAAGGCTCTGAGCTGATTTTCAGGCACAAGATTTAACTCATTCATCTACAGTCTCATTTAGACCCTAACAGTGGGGAGGCAGTTTTAAGACAAGCAAATACATTCCGAAAACAACCACCAGTTCTACCATGTCTTACTTGCTATGTGACTGTGGCCATGTCCCTGAGCTTCTCTGTGTATCATGCTTGTTGAAAAGAGTAACTAGATGGGGAAGGAAAACAAAAGACTCATCAGCTTGAAATCCAAAAACACGCAAATCTTCTGCTACAAAAGACAAAATACTGTAAACTGAAGCGTCTTTGGTGAATTCTCTTTATTAAAGTAGAAGTCGTCAGACCCCTTGAATACAAATCATTGTAACTGACTTCCAAACATTACAGGAAGAACTGTATTAAAGTCACCAAAACACATGCATTCTCCACTCTGCTTAATTGAAAGCAGCTGACTTTCAAGAAGCTGAGCAAGATGTAAAGTCTAAACCGGTAAACAACTCCCGATCCAAACTGGTCAAAGAGAAGTGGGTGGAGGGAAGCAGATGACAGGAAAAACTCGGCTGACCGCTGCATCAGGTCGACTCACTCACTGCTCTGGAGCAGACAAACACACGCTCCCACCCTGGGGCTGTCAGGACAACTGTCTCAGCCCCAAAACACCTTAAGGGCAGAACTCCTGAGAAGAAACTCGAGCTTCAGTTGAGGCTCCGGACCCTCAGGGTGCCTGGGCCTGGCAGATTCGCGGATGGCAGCCCACCGTATTCAGAGCGGAGCGCCCGAGACGGCCTCAGGTGTGGCTTTGGCCGTAGCCCCGGCTGGACTCCGCGGTCCCGACAGCCTTGTCTGGACGGCCCCCGCCCCCCAGCCGCCGCGGTACCCCGGCTCACTGGCTTGGCTGATCCGCTGGATGTTGCCGCTGCACGTCTGGATGATGCTGTTGAAGTCCCGGAGCGGGGGCCCGGAGGCCCCCGGGTTCCGGTACATGTCTAAGGGACCGTAGGACATGACGAGGAGCAGACACCGACTCGCCCTGCACCGCGCTCCTACCGGAAACAGCCGCCAGACCCGACCCGCAGGCTGACAGGGAAACCGGGAAGAGAAAGGGCGGGGACGGGATGAAGCTGCGTGCGCACCAGCCCCGCCCCCTCGCGGCGCGCTCGCGTCCGCCCCGGCTCCACCCGCCCCGCATTTGCGCAGGCGCCGCTGGACCCGGTGGCTGAAAGGTAGCTTAAAGACGCGACGCCCTGGAGCTTGCTAGGCGGGGCGATGACGTCATGCCGTTGGGACTTGGATGGGAGAATGTGGGGTGGCGGTGTTGTTTATTGTCAGGGCGCGGCGACAGAAGGCAAGAATTTTTCGATTAACATAAAATTGTACCAGATGATCTCAGCTCTAACATCCTATCCTGTTCTATTTTGAGAATCCAGGCCCAAATATGGAGAATTCGACAACCTTGAAACCCAGGTCCGTAACCGAACTTCTGAGATGCCTCACTCTGTTTTCATCCCCTAGGGCTTTGGGAGGATTTTTGAAGCACTTATAGGTTTACAAATCACTTTCATTTCTCCCTCCACCCCTTTTCTAGTCTGAGTGCTTAGTCGCTCAATCGTGTCCGACTCTTTGCGACCCTATGGGCTGTAGCCCGCCAGGTTCCTCTGTCTATGGAAGTTTTCAGGCAGAAATTTTGGAGTGGGTTGCCATTTCCTTCTCCAGGGGATTTTTCCCCACCCAGGGATCGAACCAGCGTCTCTTGTGTCTCCTGCATTGGCAGGCGGATACTTGATCAGTGCGCCACCTGGGAAGCCTAACAATAAAATAATAATAATGAAAAGATTTTTTAAGCACGTATTAGGTGTGACACTCCCCCCCACCCCCCCCCCCCCCCGCCACTGCAGTTCAGTTTCAGTTGTTCATAAGCTGTTTCACGCCAAGGGACGATGTCCTAACTATTCTTACCTTCAGACCAGATAACAGACAATCGATTTTTAAATGTTGAAGTAAAGTAACAGCAATACTTGTGGCCACGTCATGCTAAGAGTTGACTCATTGGAAAAGACCTTGATGCTGGGAGGGATTGGGGGCAGGAGAAGAAGGGGACGAGAGGATGAGATGGCTGGATGGCATCACCGACTCGATGGGCATGAATTTGAGTAAACTCTGGGAGTTGGTGATGGACAGGGAGGCCTGGCGTGCTGCGATTCATGGGGTCGCAAAGAGTCGGACACGACTGAGCGACTGAACTGAACTGAAATGAAAGTAACAACAGAACAAGCATCATCATTTTCCCTATTTCAGGTGAGAAAGTTAATGCCACAGAAATTAATTTGCTTTTCTGAGATTTGATTGCAAAACCCAAGCACTAAGCTAATCGTATTGTCATCTTGCTATGTCCTTAAAATGCATTCTCATATTACCAAATTCATTCTGTATCTAAATACCCTCCAAATAGCTTCTTCATCTATATCCCAAACTAGGATTTCTTGGAGAACTAGATTCTCAAATTTTTAAAAATCATTCCCTTAAGTAACTTGTAATGTATGACCTCATTGTTTCCACAGAAGACTGCATTTTGTGAGCTTATGGTAAATGGAAAGACAAGGGTAGATTTTGCTTTGGGAGGAGATCAAGATAGACAGAAGTGAGGGCAAACATATAAAACTAAGGATTCTAAAAAAAAAAAAATGGTTTTAAAAACCAGAATGAGAACCCCCAAATGTCATCTGTCCTTCTCTAAAGAATAAAAAAATGCTCTTATAAATGCTCCAACAAAAAATAGAGACAGATTTGCTTATAAAAGCTCTAAGGCTGAATGCAGGCTCATTCACTCATTAAGGGCCCCCTCCCACAGAGGCAAACAGCTTCCTCTTTTGGTCATTCCCCAGAGATTGCAAAGCAGACTGGAGTGAAGTGGGGTGGAGAAACGGAAAACAAACATTGCCAGTTTCCCCTCACTTCTGGAGAAGACTCTTTAAAGTCCCTTGGACAGCAAGGAGGTCAAACCAGTCACTCCTAAAGGAAATCAACCCTGAATATTCACTGGAAGGACTGATGCTGAAGCTGAGGCTCTAATACTTTGGCCACCTGACGTGAAGAGCCAACTCATTGGAAAAGACCCTGATGCTGGGAAAGACTGAGGGCAAGAGGAAGCGGGTGACAGAGGATGAGATGGTTGGATGGCATCACCTACTCAATAAACATGAGTTTGAGCAAACTCCAGGAGATAGTGAAGGACAGGGAAGCCTAGTATGCTGCAGTCTGTGGGATCACAGAGTTGGACACAACTTAGCACCTAAACAACAACGGTAGTATTGTATGGGCTTCCCAGGTGGCACTGGTGCTAAAGAACCCCCCTGCCAATGCAGGAAACCTAAGAGATGCCAGTTCGATCCCTGGGTGGGGAAGATCCCCTGGAGGACGGCATGGCAACCCACTCCAGTATTCTTGCCTGGAGAATCCCATGGACAGAGGAGCCTGGCAAGCTACAGTCCATAGGGTCACAAAAAGTTGGACATGACTGAAGCGACTTAGCACGCAGAACACATAGTAGAGTAAATCAGTATTCTTGTCTGGGAGATTCCGAAGACAGAGGAGCCTGGCTGGCTACAGTCCATGACAAGAATTGTACATGACTTAGCAACTGAAACACCACCATAGTAAATCATGTACATTGTACTTTTTACCTAGAAAATAGTCTTGGGAATGTTTTCATTTACATTTGACTGTTTAATGAGGTGAAGTTCAGTAAAGATTTTCATCCTGGTTTGAAGTGGTGGTTGTTATTGTTGGTTTTTCTCCAACTAAATTAAAAAGTGGTTTTCCATCTGTGCCATGGCTATCTTGTGCTGTCACTTGTAGAAATGCATTTGTGCCTTGCATTTGCCTAGATGTCAAATGAGTATATATTGAATTTATACATGAATAATAAATAATAATTTCTTAAATGCCTATTAAGGCAATGTGAACACATTTTACAAAGTTATTGGTAATTCCTAAGATGAAACCCATCTGACAGAGACCACCTGTGGTCTGACAGATTTATTAACTTAATGCTGCAAAAGGGACTACAAACTAGAGGAATTGTGGGGTGTCTCACCAAGCACAGGGAGAGAGAATTATTCTAGAATTTTGAAGGATGGACTGTAGGTAAAATTTAAAAGAAGCAGTGTTTTTGATAGCCTCAAAACATACCAGGCTATGTGTAAAGGGATTATCATCGGGCCTGAGCTAACAAGAGGACTCAGAATCCTGTTTCCTTGGAAACTAACATCATGAAGATAAATGTGGAATGCTGTATCTAGAAACCCCTTATCTGAAGCTCTGCACCTGGGTTGGAAATTGAGGCTGCTTCTCTGTGTCAAAGTCACTCAGATGCTCCAGGCAAGGGTGGAATAATCCTGTCTTATTGATATTTCAAATAGCAAATTTTCTGAAAAAGCACTGCTTTTATAAAATGAGATTTCTCAGCATTATGTCTTTTTTGCTAATTGACAAAAACAGTTTTTCTTGGTTTGAACCCATCAAGGTGAGATTAGCTCCTTGGTAACAGATGAAGAAACTGGTGGTCTCTAGAGGTCTGGATGCTTGCCCACCATCATGCAGCTATTAAATTGCAGAGCCATGATTCATACATATTCTATGACCCAGTAATTCTACTATGTACTCAACAGGTGTGCATCCATATGTGTTCCAAAAACCAAGTATAAGGAAGTTCATACCAGCATTTTTTTATGACTAAGCAGAATTCATCTGTATTAATTTTTATTGTGTTATCATTAACATACAATAGAATGCACAGATATTACATGTTCATTTCAATGAATTTTGACATTTGTATATACCCACATACTGTGTTAGTTGCTCAGTCATGTCCAACTCTTTGTGACCCTGTGGACTGTAACCTGCCAGGCTCCTCTGTTCATGGAATTTTCCAGGCAAGAATAATGAGTGGGTTGCCATTTCCTTCTCCAGGGACCCTTCCCAACCCAGGGATCAAACCGGTGTCTCCTGCATTGCAGGCAGATTCTTTTCCATCTGAGCCACCAGCCACCAGGGAAGCCCATACACCCACATAACCACCACCCAAACTGAGAAATACAACATTTTCATTGTTAACCAAAGAAAGTTTCTTCAAACTGTGGTCCTTTTTTTGCGGCGGTGGAGGGGCTGCACTGTTGCTGCACTTGGGCTTTCTCTAGTTGTGGTGATCAGGAGCTGTTCTCTAGTTGAGATGCTTGGGCTTCTCAATGTGGTGTTTTCTCTTGTTGCAGAGCATGGGCTCTAGGGCACTTGGACTTCAGTCATTAGTTAGGGCTGGGGACTCAGTAGCTGTGGTACATGGGTTTGCCCCTGGGCATGTGGGATTTTAGCTCCTGGACCAGGAGACCAGGGACTGAACCTGTGTCGCCTGTATTGGCAGGTGGATTCTTAAACACTGGACCACCAGGGAAGTCCCATCTGTGCTCCATTCTAATCAATTTCCCTCATTCCCAGAAATCACTTTCTGATTATTATCATTACAGATTGGTTTTGTCTATTCTCAGGCTTCATCAAGAAGGGATCATACTTTATGTTTTTGTTTTTTTGATCATACTTTATGTATTCTTTAGTGTTGGCTTATTTCAATTAATATGCTTTTGAGATATTTCCATGATGTTGCATATGTCAGTGGGTTAGTCTTTCTTATTGCTAGTAGTATTTTATCACATGATTTTACAATTTGATTATCCATTCCCTTATTGATGAACATTAGAGTTGTTTCCAGTTCAAAGCTATTATGAAGAAGGCCAGAGAAGCATTTATTTTTTTAGATCTATTTATTTTTTATTTTTTAAATTATGAAAATATGATAACACATTTACAGGAGAGTTGGAAAATACATAACAAGGTTACATATAGTTCTATTTATATTACAGTTATTTTTTAAGTAGATAAATTAATTTTTTGGTTGGAGCTTCAATATCAAACTCTCAAAAATTAATAGAATGAATATACATAGAAGACAAAGG